TTTATATGTTTATCTTATATTTATAACATATCTGTATAATGTTTATACAAAAAAAAGCTAAAAAATGGAATGTTTTTTAAAGAATCAGATTTTAGATACCAATACATATAATACTACCAATATCACAAAAGTTCATGTGAAAAAATGTCGAATGGGACTTATTTTTCAAATAAATAATTTAATTTTGCATTAGATTATATTATTATTTATTATTATTTTATTATTATATATTATTGCATTAGATTATTATATATTGATACGATAAAATTAAATTGTTTAAATTTGAAAAATAAATTCTAATCAATATTCATTTTTTTACATATATATATATATATTACAATTTTATATATATAATATATAAAAAGTACATATATTCTATATTCTATATATATAATATATAGAATAAAAATAACAAAGTATTATGGACATATAATTATGTACATATTTAAAATTTTTTTTTATTTAGATGCTATGCATTGTTTTTTCATGACAAAGATAGATAGATATTGATATATAGATATTGATTGATAAAATTGAATGTAAAATTGTTGATTGCGCCATTAATTACGCTCTTTATTGTATGAATAGTATAGCAATTTTTTAAATTTTTTAATTTAAATTTAATTTGAGATTTGTATATGTTTTAATAATTCTTCTATTATTTAATCTTTTATTATATAATTAACTATATTATTATATAATAAACTATATAACAACATACTCAAAGATCGTGATAAAGTTAAAATTTGTTTATTAAAATAAAATTTTTTGTTGATAACAAATATTTGATGAACTAATTTTTGGAATAACAATTAATTTCAATATTTTCATCTTAAATATAATTTTTAATTATTTAATTTATCGGCAATTTACAGTTATAATTTTATATTATTTCATAATTGTATCACAATGTTATATCTATGTAAAATTTTAAATGAGTATATTTTAAGATGTTTTATATATTCTAATATATAACACAACTAAAGTTGAATTAAGAATGTATATAAAATTTCTTTTTTTTGTTATAAATATTGAGAAATATTAGATTATTTTGTAAAATATAATACATAAATAATTGGATAAAAATTATAAATTATAAGTTTGAATATTTATAGAAATAAGGTAAAATAGAAGACTGTTTCTACTTGTACAAAATTTATATATATATATAAATTTCCATAAATTTTTTATAACTTATATATATGATGATTTTTCTTCAAAATGAATTCAAAAGCAATTAAAAACTGTATTAATAATTTCATTTTATATATAATAATTTGTCAATATGACTATTCTATTATTAATTAGCTATCAAATTTTTACGAAACGACTTATAAAATAAAAAAACTTATATTTGTTCACAGATATTATAAATCATATATGCACAAATATCACAATATTTAGATGATAATATTGCTTTTGAATTCATTGAGAGAATTATCCTGTTTATGTATATATATATATACATAAGAAAATTTTACATTTAAAAATTTTATATAAATTAAAATTTTAATTTTAACTAATACTCTATCATTACTAAAATAAAGTTAAAGTCAAATCTTATATCAAAATGCTACGAGTTGAAAAAAATATGAATAATGAATGGCAGTCTATAGTTATAAAAAAAAAAATATAACTATTCTAAAATACACGATCTTGGTAACCACTGTCGGCCATACTAGAACTAGGTTTGGCTGCTCCCCCAGGTACTTGATGATGAGGATGGCGTATGTGACCAGGACGTCTTGGTGGAGCTAAGTATTCGAACATACTCTGAGTATGCTGAGCCAACATTTTACTAAGATCACAAGGCATAGGATCCGTCCAAAAAAAATCGTGATTTAATGCGGAATCTGCATCAAATCTTTTAGATGGATCAAGAATTAAAAGTTTATCTAATAAGTCACACGCATAAGGATCCTTTAAATATGGTTTTAATCTATCTTTAACCTAAAAAAAATATATATTTTCAATGAATTACATTCTTGATGTATATTTTATTTAAGATAATAGAGATAATTACTTTTCGTTTTTGACCTTTAGGTAAATCCATTTTATTAAATAATTCTAAATTTTCTACTCCTGGCCATACTTCTGTTGTAATCGAACCACATAATTGAGAAATTAATATGAGCTGTTGTTGCTCTGTATTCCCTTGCATTATAGGTGATCTATAAACAATTATATTAAATAAATATTAAAAATAAATTTACAATAATAAGTACCAATATTATTATTTAAAAATATAAACCTGGTCCACATTTCAGCCATTATGCATCCTGCACCCCATAAATCTACAGGAGGGCCATAATTTCTATCACCAAGCAAAAGTTCAGGTGGTCTATACCAAAGAGTAACAACTCTATTTGTATAACGATTTGGTTGACCATTTTTATTTACACTAAATGCACGGGCTAATCCAAAATCAGCTAATTTTAATATACCATTTTTTGTTATTAAAACATTTGCAGCCTTCATATCTCTATGCAAAATCTATGCAAAAAATTAGTATGTAATTTATATTATTTATATTAAACAAATTTTTTTCAATTATTTTTTTTCTAATTATACATTTATTATGCTCTTACCTTGTTACTATGTATATAATAAAGACCATTTAATAATTGTTGCATAACTTTTTTAATTTCTCCTAAATTAAATTTGACATTTACATTTGACAATAAACCTGCTAAGTCATGTTCACAAAAATCAAATACAAGATAGAATGTAGAACGATAACGATTATATTGAGTTGCTAAAAAAAATTTTTCAAAATTATTTACTTCATAATTGTTATCAGAAAATATTTATTTACAATATCAAATATTTACCTTTTGTTCTACATATTTCTATTAAATTTACTACATTGTCATGTTTTAATAATTGCAATATTCTTATTTCTCTTAAAGCAGTTATAGGAAACTATAAATAAAAAATATTATTAATGTTATAGTACATTCATATGATATATAAATGTAAAATATATTTCAATATAATATATAATTTTCTTTAAAAAATGAAATAAAACTTTTCTTCATTTTGCTTTATAAAAATTATATTATTTTTTTTATATTTTTTAATAATATTTAATGAATACAATTTAAAAATAGTTAAAAAATTTAAAAAATTTTAACTTTTAAAAAAATTTATCAAAAGTTATATTCTTAAAAATACATATTATTGATATCTAATGAGAAAAATTGATATACAAATGAGATAATAAAGATAATAAATAATAATAAAATCTTCAATTCATTGTTATATTTTTAATTTTTAATTGTTAAATCAAATTTATATTCAATTTATAATTATAATATCTGAAAGTTATTTTAGTTTAATTAATTTTATCTGTAGGATACAAACATTTATGTAAATTATTGAATATAAATGATTTTTTAATAATAAAACTTATATAATTTTTCTACATTATTTATATGCTATTATTTTTAAAATTTCTATTAAAATTTCTAAAAATTCTAATAAGATTTAAAAAAATTTATTTATTTATCTTAGACATAAGAAAGAATTAATAATTTTTAGTATTTCTAAATAAAAATATAATAAGCTATTGTGTTTGTATATTTATATATATATGAAATGAATAAAAAACAAAAAAAATATATTAATCAAATATTCAACATATACATACCCCTTCCTTTTCATTATCCATTAATACTTTTTTCATAGCTACGAATTTTTTAGTACAATTCTTATCTCTCGCTTTAAACACTTCTCTATGAAAAAATATATATTATTAAAATTAAAGAAAATAATAAAAATTTTTCATTTGTATATAATTATAACCTAATTAGAATATAATTAAACTTACCCGAAAGTACCTTGACCAATTTTTGCAACTTTTTCATATTTAGAAGATTCATCACAATGAGGAAAATCAAATTCTTCAATATATTTTTCCTTTTCCTTCGTATTCATCTTGAATATTTTTCAAACATGACTATTATAATACTTAACATGGTAGACAAGAAATCATGAGAATCTACAAACGAATTTGACAGAACATTCTTATACTTAACCTCAAAATAAAAAATTTATTTTGATTCGCACGTCACCTAGCGGAACTAGCGTTAATCAGTTTGCTTTTATATTGAGAACGGTCGTCACATATTTATGCCTTTTAAATAACAAACGAGTAGTAATGTTTGATAATGTCATATCGTTAATATCTGTCAAAATTTATAACGGATATGAAATGCGTGAAAAAAGTATAGTTTATAATATCATATAATTATGATATATTCTGATCGAT